AGATTTGCGTTTCCTTCGACTTCGTATTCGGTTTTCGTAGAAATGATAGCACGCTGCCGTATCATCACAATAACAAAAAGTTCAAGCGGAACTGTAAGAAGAATCTTTTGATAATAATGTGACAATAGGATCCTCTCGTTTTGCTTGCTGCTCCGCTCGCTGCGCTGCGCCTGTTCGCGCCGCAGCTAGGCGTTGCATTTGGCTCCGCCTCCGGTTTCCGCTGCCGCATCAACACGGTAACGAAAAGTTCAAGCGGAACTGTAAGAATTTCTTTAGAATTAAAGGGCAATAGAATCCCCTCGCTTTACTTGCTGCTCGCATGCTGCACTGCGTTTGCTTAATGCTGACGTTATTAAAGAAATGTTTTGCTATGGCAACGTTTTAAAATATATTTTTAACAACTGCACAAAAGCCTCAGAATCCTATGGATTTTGTTTAAAAATTTACAAATTCTTGAATGTGCGCTTTTTAAGCGTACCCCTTCAAATAAAGTTATAACTCACAACCTTCGTGATCGCGAATTTCCGTCGTTAATCCTCGATTAATAGGATAACTGGTGTTAGTAATTCTAAATCCAACTCAAGTAAGCTTTTTTTAAAATTTTTACATCCTTTTTTTGAAGCAATAATCATTTAGTTGTTCGCGGTGCAGCCTGGCGTCACCCACATCTTTCTTATCGAAACGGTCAAGTATTAACGTAACAGCGACCCATTGGGACAACTGGCGATGCTAAAAGTAAGCAGTAACGGTTACGGTGACCCGAAACGATGAAAAAGATATGCACGGTAATCTATTACGGTAACGGTAGCAGTAACAGTATCCAGCCATAGTAATCCGTTAAAGAACAGTTTGTGGTTACAATAACCCGTTACGCCAAGGCTTAATTATTACAGAAATTCAGTAATAATTATCCGTTGCATAAAAAGCAATCTGTTATGGTAACAGTAATCCCCTGCTAAAGTAACGTATTGCGGGTACGGTAATTTTTGTGATAGTATTTAGAAATAGTTGCAGGAACATTCACGATTAAGGTAACCTGTTACGGGACTTGCAAACAGAAAAATTCCACCACCAACACCGGGTAAAATGTTCGGACAGGGTTCATAAATCGGGCTACTTATACAATTGCACGGCGGAACCCTGAAAGTGAATGAATATGTTTCCCAAAGCGTCGGTTCCCAGAATGCAAACCAAACAATGCCGCAAAAATATCATTCCCGGGTACAAATTTTACCACCCGTATATCACTGGGTTCGTCAATACTGACCCAGTTACATTTAACGCTGCGGTTCCCGAAAACTGTCCCTATATAACTACGGCGGGTTCGTCAATAATGACCGGGTTATAATTTACGTTACGGTTCCCAAAACTGCACCACCAGGGCCGCTAAAAAAATCCGGACCGGGTCCAAATTTCCGGACCCCCCTCATATTACTACGGCGGGTTCGTCAATAAAAACCGGGTTATAATTTACGCTACGGTTCCCCAAAACTGCACCACCCGGGGCCGCTAAACAAATCCGGACCGGGTCCAAATTTCCGGACCCCCCGTATATTACTACGGCGGGTTCGCCAATAATGACCCGGTTATAGTTGACGTTACGGTTCCCCAAAACTGCACCACCCGGGACCGCTAAACAAATCCGGACGGGGTCCAAATTGCCGGACCCCCCGTATATTACTACGGCGGGTTCGTCAACATTGACCCGGTTATAATTTACGGTTTCTCAAAACAGCTCTACCCGGATGCGCAAAAAAAATCCGGGCCTGGTCCAAATTTCCGGACCCCCCGTATATTACTACGGCGGGTTCGTCAATAATGACCGGGTTATAATTTACGTTACGGTTTCTCAAAACAGCTCCACCCGGACGCGCAAAAAAAATCCGGACCGGGTCCAAATTTCCGGACCACCCGTATATTACTACGGCGTGTTCGTCAATAATGACCGGGTTATAATTTACGTTACGGTTCCCCAAAATGCCACCACCCGACCCGGTCTGCGCGTTTGCACTGGGTCCAAATTTACGGTCGAACACACATTTCCCCATTGGGTCCGTCAATTATAACCCGGTTAGGTTCACGATTTTAAACTACCTTCATTTTTGATAGGCTGCGCCCCCGCACTTTGCTTATTGGGGCTCCGCCCCAAACCCTGACGCTAGGGGCTTCGCCCCTGGACCCCGGGAACCCGGTTCTCCGGTTCGCCCCACACACTTTAAATTAAAAACGCTACGCTCGCTTCGCTCGCTCGCTTGATTACTTAACTCATATCAGCTCGACAACGAGTGGAAGGCATTAGAACATCTTTTCTATTGTCTGTATTATGCCAATCCGTTTCTGAGGCAGTCAGGAGTGCCTCTCGATTTGTTGTTAGTTATCGCCAAATTTTTTCGGCTATGCAGGCAATTTACAGCTGGCGAACAAAAGTATATTTCGCACAAATTGTTTTCTCGTTAGAATTTCAGTTCCTACTCTTCGTAGCAAATACAGCTAGCCAATGCAGTCCGGGTCCCGCGTGCTTGTCCGAGTTTACAATCAGTGCGAGCGGGAATTTTGGACTGGATACAGTCGGCAGCGCATCTGGGGAGAACACTCCGAGGAAAATTTTCTGTAGACAGCTATCGTGGTGCACGATATCTTGAAGCTTGAGATTATTCATGTTTAAGCACGTTTGTACGGGCAATACACGTTCCGTCGTGTGTCGATCTCCACGAGGGCGTGCTTGTTGAAATAGACCAATACGGAAAGAGTGGCAGTCGGTTGGGGCGAGAATGGTAAAGATAGTCCAAGAACACCTTTTTTCGTAGGATTTATGCACATATGGTTTCCGATATCCGGTTCGAGGTTAAAACCAAAAACTGCATAACCTTTGGCCCATTCTTTTTGATCGAAGACCAATGTAGAGTTTTTGTAAATTATACCAGTTGTCTCCAACAGACTCAGGTACCCGTCGCGCGTGTTTGTTGCTGAAACCTCTAAGGCTTTCCCAGGAAACGGTTCGGAATTGAAATAAGTGATAATCTGGCTCAGTTCATAGGGCTGAAAATTGTGAGGGTTGCGAGTTAAGTTTTCACCAACGGCCTCCGACAAAACTAGAGCAACGAAAAGTTGCTTTGGAATAACTCCTCGAAATCAGTTGTCACGAGACCAATGACTGTCTCCAGATGGTATGGTCATCTCGAGAACATAAGATTCTCGAGCACATGGGATTAAAAGATTGTGCGACCAGTTCAACGATTGATCGATCTGGGATTATACACTGTTCACTAGCCCTATCCACTACAGGCTTCTCAGATTCTTAAGCAGCCACGAGTCATCTGAGACGTTGCTGCGACGATCTGCGTCGCAAATGTTGTCGAAGAAAAAGTCGGTACACACATCGAAGCTCTCCGGCGACACTTCGAGCCAGTTGAAGAGCCCAGTCCTGATAATCTCACGGTATCGGGAGATAAATTGTCAGTATCCGCTTCCGGCATGTGAGGGTGAGGAAGCGACGCGTTCGGCGTGTTCACATCATACGAATGGACAACTGGTAAATGTTGCGTCAGACATAAGAAAATTAGAGTAGGAACGCTATTGGCCTGGCGCCATGCATATTGTACCAAACAATAAAGGTCCAGAAAACGTTGCTTGCACTCGTGTGACGCGACTTTTGCAATTTTTCCATAAGTTGGAGCTCCAGCCAGTTGTTAGCCAATTACGCATCATTAAGTTAAACTAATGATCGGAACGAATGCGCACTTGGAGTCAGCCAGATGTTGTTTTACGCTGACAATATTCGAAACTCTTTTTGCCTTCTACTTGTTATGAAAAATGTTTTTGTTATAGCCATCATTACATGTCGATTTTTATCGATAAAGGTTTTGCGACCATATCTGAGTACCCCGGTTTCGCGATGTGATATCTGTTTGTGAACTGGCGAAAAAATTATCCGATAGGCCCATGCGTCAAGAGAACAAAGTTTTCGATCAGCTAAGTAATTATTCTGGATTGGATAAAGCCACAGTGCTGCCGCGTAAGACTTGTTGCTACCGGTGCTGCCGTGCCTTACAACAAAGCCTACGCTTCCCTTGTGTCGAGTGTGCACGGAATATCAAGACAATGAATCCTGTCAACACTCAGACCACGACCGCGCATTGTTTGGGGTGTGGACCACCGTGGAACTGGAAAAAGCCTGGAAACCGGGTACCGCTTTATTGCCGTACATGAAGTTTGGCATTTTCCAAATTCCGACGAGGATTACTTGCAAATTATATCATCCATTTCTTAAATCCTTAAACCGAAGCCATTGGATGGCCGACTGAGATCCACAGCGAAGGAGCAAAGCAAAATTACTTGAAAAATTTCCTAACAAGGGAAGTTATTGTGCTAGAGCCTGACAAACTCTAAAAAAACGGGTTTGCGCTCGCTCAACAAACTTCGCTTAAATAGGTCAGTATTCAGACAAATTTTACTGTGCGAAAAGCTTTTACAGTTCTTGTAAATTACGAGGACATTTGGGTGCTGTGAACATACCCTTCACGATTAGGGTACGATGAACACCCGGCCAGTCTGCAGCTCGCAACGCTACTGGCCTCACGGTCGAAATTTTAAAATTAAATTCAAATTTTAAAACGCACAGCATTCAGTACGAGTACTCGTACATATTTGTTTATTTCCATATCTTGTTATCTTATATTCTAGATTTGTTATAGTGACTGTTTGTTTTACTGTTTTTACTAATTAATCTGATTTGCTACGTGTACTGAATCCAACTGTCCACAAATATCAGCTACGACTCTACGAGTATGGATCTAGTCGCCAGAGCTTGTCATAATGATGCTATGGACGCAGCAGTCAAGTCATGTCAGGAGGGAATTTTATCGCAGGCTTCCGCCGCAAAGGTCTACAGAGTTAATCGCACGACCCTAGGAAGACGGCTGAAGGGAATTGTGCCTCAACAGAATGGGCAATGGCAGCGGATATTTACTGATCTTGAGGAGAACTTTATTGCAGACACCATGCTGCGCTGTGCAAAACTTGGAGTGCCTCTAAATAAACCGATGTTAAAACGAATTATTCCTCCACTGTTGAAAGAAAAAGGTAAAACGCTTTAAGATAATGCTTTTGGCGCCGATAAAATTGCAATAGCATATAGAAATTTTTTTCATTATTTGGCTCTTGTTCACACATCAAATGTTTGTAGGTCTTTCAGTCGAGAAACAACGTTTTACGGAGGACTGGCACTATGGCTTTTTAAAGCGTCACCCAGAAATTAAGAAGCGCATCTCTCACAGTGCAAACCGGAAGAAATCTCGGGAATGGACCGTAAAAAACCGCCAGGGATGGCTTAAGAAGCTAAGCGAGCTGCACATGAGCGGATATCTGAGCGACCCTCGTGGTATCTGGAACTTTGATGAGTCCGCATTTCAAGTGGCAGAGCGAGTTACTTCGGTTTATGCAGAAAAAGGGACAAAGGATGTACTCTCTTATTTCGATGGTAACGACAGAGAGCTGGTTACTGTTTTGGCTGGCGGAAACGCTGCGGGAGAGATTATGAGACCGTTAATCCTGTTCGATGGCAAAGTGATGATGGCTTCTCGACTGGACGGAACTGATGATCGCTGTTATGTCGGTGTAAACAATTCAGGGATTATGGACACGGAAACATTTGTTAATTACCTCCGACGCGTAGTCATTCCTGCCATGACAGCAGATAAGGTAATTCAAAAATATTACAGTACCAAAAAAAACTTACAAGCATAAAATTATTATAAAAGCAATATTAATGACGCTAATTATTGTCACAAGACCAGTAAATTAAACCTAATTATTTTTGATTTCTGTGTAGCCAACAGCTCTGTGCAAATAAATACATCTATATTGTAATCATCTTTTGTAGAATGTTATCTTCTTGGATGGTCATAGTTTCCACATGCTGAACGATGAGTTCATTCACGAGTGTTTGATGTCGGAAAAAGATATTACCGTAGTGATTTTGCCCTCTGGACAGACTGATAAATTGCAGCCCATGGACATTAAAGTTTTCGGACCTGTCAAAAAGTACTGGCGGGATTATTTGCGTTTGCAGCCACTCCTATTGGACGAAGCGGTAAGAACTTTAATATTTAACTGTGATTTTGCCCGTAAGTTGAATTTTCGTTTAAAATACAGATATCCAAGCAGAATTTTGCGAAACACTTGATGGCAAAATGAAACGATTTCAACATGCCGTCAAATATCATTTCCGGTTTTAAAGCATCGGGCATTTTTCCTTATAATCCGGAGAACGTTTGTCGTGCTGTGGATGGGCCCAACGATGATTTAAACGACGCAACACTGCCGCAGGAACAAGCTGACTTGTTAACCTTTCGCGTAGTTTATGCAAGTGAATTGGCAGAACTCAAGCAGTTTGTTCGCGTGAAATTTCATGCGCCTAATTCTACTGCCGAAGAAATTGCGGGAATCCTTGTTGATAAGATGGAAGGGTTTAAGCCGACTGTGGCACCTGGTAACATTGCCCAAGGGTTTTTCGACCGTCTGACACAGATCCACCCTCGAAAGGAAAAGAGACCTACTGATCAACGTTTGCGGATGGATAGCGGAGCGATTATCACGAGCTCAGAGTTTCAGAAAGCGCGAGCCGAACATCACCAAAAACGCCAGAAAGTTCCACAGAAATCTAATCGCCGCGCTGTGTTGGGCAATCTTACGAATACGCCAACAAAAGTTACAAAACGGTCTTTCAAGAAACGCGAAAGTTAAATGAATACGAGTGCGTATTAAATAGAGAATTTTGTGCTATACTCGTTCAGGTTATTATTTTGTTCTGTGACTAAAAACTCTGAAGCACTATGATCTTCCAAAATGTGGTTTGAAGGCACAATAATTTTTGGTGGGCCGCAATTTGTCAAAATAGTCAGTAAAAATATTTGAGTATAACAATTTTATCAAAATAAAATTTTCTGTAAAGTTAGTTCCCGGGTGTTTATCGCACCCTAATCGTGAAGGGTATGTTCACAGCACCCAAATGTCCTCGTACAGCTTTTGAGACGCAGTTTAATTTTATTGTAGCATTTTGCCTTGTAACACAAAAAATCTTAAGATCTCTAGTGAGAGAAATTACACACAGGTTTCATTAAGTGTCACAGACGTTTCTTTTTTCTCTGTAATTTTCTCAGTTTTGCTGCATTTCTCCTTTCTCGTAACTACGTGTAATAACGACGGTCTTGTGTTCAAAAAGTACCGAAGGGCATTTTTAGCTGAATCACGATTCCGTCCAGTTCCGAAACTTTCAGGTCGATTAGGTCATCTTCGTTGCCAAACGAACCCTTTATTTCATTCGGCGAGACAGATTTGTTTTATTAATTCACATATGCTCCATGAATGCCAGTGACGGACATCATGAGAGAAATTTGTCTCTTCAGGTTAACTTGATGCAGACCTGTTGCATTATATAATTTACATCAAGGTAACTCAAAAATACATCGTGTCTGCGAATGAATACCAATTCGGTTCCAAGGCTAAATATTATTTGGTTTTCGGAATCAGCACCTTTTTCCTATTTCCTTAGGATTTTGGAATCCACATCGCATTTAAAACTCCCAGCCAGTTATTTGATAGGTTAGATCACGAAAGCCGTCGTCATGGCTCTGGAGTAGATAAGCGTCCATTTTGATAGCGTTTCGATACTTGTGGATTTTTAACTGCTCTTCAGCGAACAGCCAATGACTTATACCACTGTGCTCAAAGCCAATTTAACCAAGCTTTCGAAGAGCTAAAGGAAAGGTTGACGACTGCTCCCGTTTCAGCATTTTTTAATGAAAATATATTAACTGCTATCCATGGTGATGCTAGCCGATATAGCTTGCGGAGCCGTTTCAGTCCAGATTCATCCTGAACGATGAAACCTATAAGCTGATGTTCGAGAAAGTTTACTAGTAGCGAAAACAACTTTCAACTATCGAAAGAATGTTTGGAAATACTTCATGCGACCCAGAAATTTTGTCCATATATTTATGGAAGTGAAGTCGATGTGTTTACCGATCATGCTTCCATGACGTGGGTGATGTCATTAAAAAACCCAAAATCAGAAATTAGCGACGTAGTCTTTACGTCTTTCTGAATTTCAGGTGAGTATACACGACAGTCAAGAAATCAGTATGTAAACTCAAAATAAGTCTTTTCCTGCCCAAGGCAACGGCGCATACCTCCAAATATTAGCGGGTCAACAAAAGACAATACTGCAAACAGACTTTGAATGGATGACTCCGATTATTATACGACGAGCCCGACTAATAATTATTAACTAAATGATGAGTTTGATCTCCGCCGCCTCCCATTGTTTCAGTGGGTAACTCTTGTGTTTCACTCGTTCAAAGTAATAGATTTTAATAACTGTTAAAATTGCACATCCTACAAGCACAAACAGTTTGCGAAGGGGGGTGGACAGGCGAACGAACAGCACAGAAGGTCGTGGTTGTTTGGGTTCTCTGCTGTTATTCACCAGTTGGATACATACAAAGTCGTATAATATCACGGTCGTATAATATCACTGTAACTCGTACCGACAACTTTTAACGGCTAGTGTTCGGCAGCCTGATGTTCAGCGGTGACATCTGGCATTTCTTCACCATTAACATCCGGCATATCTTCTTCGGGGACACCGTCGAACAACATTGATCTTAACAATTACTGTCTCTGGTCTGCCTTCGTATTAACTGACCAATTGAATAAGTTTCAGCTGCCGTGGGGTGGCAAAATTCATGGCTTCCGAGATGTTAAAGCCGGCATTAAATACCAGGTGAAACGCGACGGGAAAAGTCATGATAAACTCGCAGGTTTTCTGCTCAACCTACCAATGGACCGTTTAATATTTAGGTCTGTTATTGATAAGTAACTAGACACCTAGTGATGCACTGTGCTGCACACTTTTGCTGAATTTTCCTCAGCTAACTACATATCCCGTGAAGCGTACGTAGATCATCATGGACATAAAATCTTAATGCGAATTACCACATTGACAGTCAATCCACGTGAGCGCAGGCTGTGCGGTCTGATTACGGTGGGTTTGTATCGCAAGAAATGCTTACAGACGTATTCTTGTACCGGGAGGAAACTATATATTCCGTCAGAACATAGTACAGCAACAGCAATAATTATACTTTCACTAATAACAGGAGAATCAATGTGTAGTTTAGTAGTCAGAATCTCATATTACCTGCAGTCTCGCATTATTTGGGCCTGCGAGCTTGGAACGTAATTCCACGCCTTCCAGTCAGCAAAATGAAGCAACTGATGGATAATTAGTCGTCAACATCCGTGTGCCACGCAGAACTGATCATCCAGGAACTGTAGCAGACAAATAGTTCATTTATCCCTGGTAACGTCTTCGTAAGACGGTCCTAAGTGAATCCAGATCGTTAAGGCTCCATGTCTATAAGAATAATTTCCTTTGAATTAATTGACTAGAGATTCATCGAAAAGCACTAATTGTTACCAAAAGATAGTACTGTTTGTGTATATGCTAACCTATATTTCGTCGTTGAAATAAGAATCCGATATCGCTATGTCGTAAACTACTTGGACATTTTTCCAATGGATCGATCTCCAGAAGTTGTCTTCAAGCTTCTCGATGCTGCCGCCTGGACAGAGTGACGGATAATATAATTACATGTAATCATACATGTAATACACAGCGTAACTTATATTTGCTACTTACGGCTAGTCTGGTAAAACACAGATATGTACAGATCACAGAAGTACTCGTCGTGAAGATTTCCAAGACGAGAGCAGCCATGGCAGGTCATGTGTGTACACAATATGAAATTGTAAAAAGATGATTGCATTTGGCGGAATAGAAGAGAGCGAGACATTCCTTCTCGAAGAATCGTCTCAACTTGTTTCGACAGGAATGCCCCTGAACGCCGGTTGTGAAGAACTGCGGAGATTGCACAATGCACAGCGCCTGTTTTGCATTGTGCAATCCCAGAAAGCCGGTAGCCAGAAGTACAAGAACATTTGGGACCTTTGGACCGTAATAAACTTCGGTGATTCCAATCATAATTCTACCCTGGATCGGATTTTTGTACAGTGTTTTAGCGTTGAAATGCAAAGAAACGAGGAAATACGTTATCTGTGAAGTTAACCGTAAAGCATTTGGCCGGCCTTAAAGTTAAGTAACACTAGATTTAGAAAAAAAATGAGGGGAGAGCTTCATACACTCACACTACCGCTACTTATACAACAGAGCCGGCCGCCCTTTTATAGCGGCGAGCCGGCATACACATTAAGATGGAAAGATCCCGCTGTCGTCAATGGACGTCAGCGGGGTAGCACGCACTGCATCCCAGGCGTGCTATCGACCCACACGGGCAAACACCATCTGCAGGGAAAAACGTACAGGGAGAAGCAGTGATATCCGTGTTTGCACCGATGGGATAGGTGCACCAAATAAGCATTTGGTTTCCACGTCGAGGTCTGCGTTGAATTCAGTCCAAAAAATCCGTTATAAACCAAAGCAATGTGTTTCATAATCATATTGAATTGGAGACAGAATACTCCTATGTGGCGAGTTCCTACAGACATCGATGTGCGTATGAATAGCGCTGCATGCTCCCAGTCCGTGGCACCGCATGACCACGGAGAAGGATACCGATCCCTGGCCCCAGCTCTAGCAGGAGGAAGTGCTCGTGATGCTCCATGGCACGTGCATGGCAAAGGAGTGACTATCGCCTTCTTTGGCTATCAGCTTCAAAAATTGCTACCGGAAACGATGTCGTCGCTTTCTGTTGTGCGAAGATTGTATATTCCACGGTGTCGACAATTGGTTAACAGCTTTAAATTCAGTAAAATCAACATTGGGAAATGGAATATTCCTGTAGCCATGCGGATAAGTTTCAAAACCATTTCCAATAACACCACTTGTCAATGTGTACGAAACACGACGACTAATGTTCATGCTCTGGATACTCAAATGCTTCGTGTTCCACTTGAAAAATATTACGTAACTCCGGAAATTACGTCATAGGTTTTCCTTTTATTTTGAAACTGAACGGAATCATACAACGAAAAAGAACTTTAGCTCTTCCTTCGACCAAACTGTCGCGGACGTCCAGCCGTGGCCGAAGCTTCAAAGATTTAATAAGTCCAGCTTTCTTTTCCTGGGCAAGCTCGCACTCATACTTCACCACCATAGACTGTACATTAGGGTTCGGTTGGCTCGCTAGATTCGTTTTTACAGTCTCTTCACGAATTTCTGCAAACGCTTTCGTGCGTACCGTATTCTTCCTGAAGGACCCGGGAAACATATTGCACATTCGTGCCAAAA